CAGAGCAGCTGTTTTCAAGAATTTAAAACAGCTGGGCACAGAGCAGAGTTCTGTGAACAAGAATTTTCTATGCAATGACCCAAGTTTGAGTGTGTTCATTCTTTTTCGCTTTTCCGTTCATTCTTTTTAGCTTTTCCTCCTTCTTAGCCCAGAGTCAGGTGCATATCTGAGTACTGTTGTTAATGTGCCTTCAAGTTGGAATTAACCCCTAGCCGACCCTTCAGTGAGTTTTCAGAGGCAGTAAACTGCCTTGGAGGAGATTGCCCATGTTTCTCCCATGAAGCAGCTGGTGAATTCAAACCATGCGCTTTCGGGCTGGCAGTGCAGCTTCTGAGCCCTACACCATTTCCAGCAGGGTGTTTGATCAGAGCGATCAACCTGGCTTCACTTGCTTCTGTGAACCAGACCGAATCCAAGAAACCTTGGCTGCCAGTCCATGAACGCTCTGCTGGAGAGTTACTTCCCTGGCTGTTACGGAGTACAGCTGGGGCATTCGTCTCTGCTTCATTCCACCTTCCTGACCCCATTCTCTACTGCCTTAGCACTTATTAACCCTGCATTTCAAGGTCCCACATAGTACCTAACTTGATTCAGACTGTTCACTTCTCTTGAGCTTCCATGAGTGGGCTTCTTTATTAGGACCTTGTAAAAGTATGAGGGTTAATGGAAGAACATGCATAGACGCTTCTCAAACCACAGATAGGAATGATGTTACATTGTTTTCCTTACTACTTCTCCAGTATAATTATTGCATGTGGAAGAAACTATGACCATTCACCTCTGCACAGGCTGTTTCCTCTGCTCACCACTGCCTTTCCTAGTATCTCTTGGCCTTGTGACCAGGCTCACAGCCAATGCCCTCTGCCCCCCTCCCCCAGTGTTCCTACTGCACCTGTGCTACTTCAGTGGACACACTTGTCAGTCCGACTCATCATCACCTACCGCCAGGATTTAAATGTAGTTGTTTGAATGAAAACGACCTTTAAATGCTTGCTGTGCTTCTTGCCCTTGTGGTAACAGCTTTAACATCTGCAAGCATAAATATCTTCATAAGGCAGCCAGGCCAGTGGAGCAAGGCACCAACAGTAAACTAACATAAGCTTGCCGTTGAGTTGGAACCAACTCATAGCTAACCTTCCAGCAGGTTTCAAGGCTGGAGCTCTGTGGCCTAGTGGCAAGAAGCTGCACTGCAGTCGTGAAGGCATGTGGGTTGAGGCCACCAGCCGCTCTGCGGGAGAAAGATGGGCTATCTCCTCTCATGTAATTAACTGCCTCTGAAAGCCTGCTGGAGGGTCAGCCATGGATTGGTTCCAACTCTAAGGTAAAGACTAACAAAAAATTTTATAGGAGACTGCCCACCTTTCTCCTAAGGGGCAGCTAGTGGAAGTGACCCAGCAGTGAGATGCCACCTTTGGGAGTTTGGCAGCACAACTCCCTATGTACTATGCTACCAGGTCTCCCTTTTAAAGGAACAGTGCCCTACAAATCTTTACATACCAGTTTAACTGGCTATCGATGGTATATTTCTCCACCTCCTGTCCCTTCAGCAGAGTTGATGTAAACTTACTGGAAAAGAATTTCTTCCTATTAGCTTAAGAAGCTCTGACAGTACAGCGGTTAAGCGCTCGACTATTAACCAAAAGACTAGCAGTTCAAACCCCACAGCTGCCTTGAAGGAGAAAGATACAGCGGTATGCATCCAAAAAGACGTACAACCTAGGAAGCCACAGGAGCACTTCTCTGTCCTATCGGGCAGCAGTCAACTGTACGGCTGCGGTGTTTGACTGGTTTTTCTGTGAACCAGGTTTAATGACCTCCTCTTGCGATGCCGAGAACTGGATACCTGGACACACGACCTTGTCCTCCCAGCCGTGGTGTGGCTCTCTGGCTTCTTCAACCCACAATCCTTCTTAACAGGTAGGGGAGGCTAGGCCCACCCTGGTGCTGGCCGAAGTTATAGCTGGCTTTGCCCAGGACTGCTCTCATCCCTGCTAACCAATCTCCGTGCAGTAGCCATCACAAAAAATGGGGTAGGAATAGCTCTGGCCTCCACCCGGATGAGAGTGGCTGGAGCAGGAAAGGCTGTCCAGGCATTAGAGTGGACTGTGGCTCCCTCTAGTGGACGGGTCAGTAAACAAGTCCAATCTAGACCATAAGCCATTGTTGCACCCCTTCTGCCATTATCCTGTGAAAGCAGCCACCAGAGATGTGAGTGCATCTCAGTGAAGCTGTGAACAGATCAGAACCCTACCATCATCTCTGAAACACTTGAGCTCACTGCTACATTCAACACTTCAACCTATCTCATTAAGAGTCTTCCACTAGCCTCACCAAGCAATATGCCAATATAAGAGAAACAGCTTGGTCATCCTTGTCTCCAAGGAAGATTCTAGCTGCACTCTCTCCAAGACCTGTTTGGTTTTTTGACAGTGCATGACAATACATAACCAATGACCAAAGCAGCATCCCAGAAATACTTGTTAAAAAAACTGAGAGGTGGCTCGGGGGTTATAGCCTGCCAGCCACAGCCCTGGTGCAATGTGTGCAAATCCCCAAGAACCTAAAACTTCCCATGGGACCAAAGTGCTTCCCAGTTTATTAGTGGCTCCTGGGAATAATAAGTCAAAGTAAAATTACTTTTAATACATTCTTGTTTCTCTCCTCCTACAGCAATCATGCAGACCATGGCACGAAAAAATGAATGGCCTTTGGATAAAATGTGCTTGACGGTCGATGTTACAAAAAAGACTAAGGAAGATTTTGGCCATCCCCCCAGAGAAGGGGCATACCTCCATGGGCTCCTCCTGGAAGGTAAGACACCCCACAGTGTGCAGTGACGGTTCTCAAGGATGTTTCTGACTTGGGCTCAAATGTAGGCGTGCCCTTATCTGCCATCTTCAGGCCTTACTTAACTCTTTTTACAGCAACCTTACAGTTAAGGGTTTCTTACCTAATGTCTTTCTAACAGTTTCCAAGGTGTGTCCAAGGTGAGACAGATTGAAAGACTTGGGCTGATGGTTGTCCATTAGTGCCATGGGGTCATTTAAGACCGACACTGAAAGGATTTTCAGTACACTCAATTCTGAGCACTCTGGTGGCATAGTTCAGAGAGTTGCTCTGATAAGCCAGAGTAGCACCTCTTCTGGCCGTTGGAATCCAGCAGCTCTAGGAGAAAAAAGTGGCCTGTCTCCTCCCAGTGGTGTTTATAGTCTTGGCAATGAGATAAGAGACTCAACTGAAAATCGTTTGTGTTATACAAACTCAGCAATTTCACTTGAGAACCCAGGAACTAACTTGAAATTTGTTCTCATGTGCCAAGGACTAGACAGAGGTGGCAGCTGGCACACCATGATGGTAACAGACATGTGTTTTATTGAGGAATGACTTCCTGAGCTTAAGTTCTGGGCACTGGCAGGGCCAAAGTCAAGTCTGCACATCCCACACAGGGAGGCAGGACCTTTTTGTGTCCCTGGTGAGCAAAGGGGGCATGGCATTTTGCCTCAGTCTCCAAGGCTACCCTTGCGAGTATCAACTAAACATCAGACAGCAAGCGCAAGTTAGCCAGCAGCAAGCAGGGGCACAGCCATATTAGGCCTTGTAAAGCCTGTTCCTCCAGAAGTGCTTTACTGCAAGATTTCTGCAAGCCCTTGAGATACGGGAGTTCTGGTAGCCTAGTGGCAAGAAGCTGCACTACAATCCCGAAGGCGTGCAGCTCGAATCCAACAGATGCTCTGCTGGAGGAGGAGGGGCGATCTCCTCCTGTGGCAGTTGGATCTGATCCAACTGTATTGGTACACAAGAAATGGGGGGGGGAAAGATGTCATTATACCTCCAAGAGGACTTTTTGCCTTTGTCTGTCCTGGCTCATTGCTGACCCTCCAGGTTTATAAGGCTCTGGGTTACGAGGAGGAGACTGTCTGTCTCTCAGAGCTGCTGGTTTGATTCATGTCACCAGGAGCACCACATTCAGATTAGCCTCACACTTCCCTATGGAGAACCAGGGTATGCACGATTTTCCAAATTGATTTCATCCCCCCCGGTATTTAGTGTGTTGGACAGTTTCAGAAATGCCACTCCCAGTTCTTGACAAGATGTTTCCTTTTGTGTTCATGTCAGTGCCACAGTTCAAGAGCTTAAAGGCTGGACAGGCAAAGTAAAGAATGACTTGAACTTGGTATAGTAAGTAATCAGGTGTGAAAGTGAATGTTCCTGCATGGTGTGTATCTTTCAAATCCACATTCCTTACTAAAAGTCAGCTGGTAAGCAAAGGAGCCCGAACTTTACACCTACTTCCATAGTGTAAACAGCATGTCAGCCTCTCCAATCTGCCAAGGACTGGTTCAAGAAAGCCCACCAACAAGCCAGAATGTAGTAAACCCAGAAGAACATTTATTGCCTGAAACGACGCGATCCTAACAACACGCCATACAGGTGTCACTCTTGTGTTGTGCCTCAGGTGCCAGGTGGGATGCGCAGTCTGGAACCATTGCTGAAGCCCGCCTCAAAGAGCTGACGTCCGCGATGCCGGTCATCTTTGCAAAAGCCACACTCCTGGACAGACAAGAAACCAAACACACATACGAGTGTCCCGTGTACAGAACCAAAGTGAGGGGTCCCAACTATGTCTGGACTTTCAGGTTAAAGAGCAAGGAGAGGGCGGCAAAATGGGTTCTGGCGGGTGTGGCTCTGCTGCTGGAGGTGTAGTGGCCTCATAGTGGGACTCCCTGGCCTCTGCCAGGGCCCCAGTGGGGCTTTACTCCTCCCTGTGCCCACCTGTGTTTATTCCATGGGGAGGTACTCAACATGGTCCAATTACAGTATGCTTAGTAACTTACATGTGCATTAACTTTGTTAAACATCAACCACAAAGAGTAGAAAAGAATGAAAAATGTACAAAAATAATGAAAACTTATTCAGAAGCCGTGCTCATCCCAAATAACTCCTCTGGAACCCCAAGCCCCTTGCCCCTCAACAGTACAAAATAGCTCTTCAAGGTTCGCCACTGAACATGCATACAGCTCAAAGTAACGTGGCTGGAAATCCCCATCATCAAGGGGCTCTTTCGTGCTTATAGATACTGAACAGCATAATCATCTTAAACTAAAAATTAGCCCTTAGAGTCTTTAAAAGCTCAGCAGCAGCTGGCCCCAGGACACAAGTCCCGGATGAACAGGCGGGTGTCCCAGCACCCTGAGCCCTCCAGTGTCTGCAGCATTTTTTGTTCATTCAAGTTTTGAAAAAAATAAAACAATTGCACTTTGTGATTTAGGGGAGAGTTCTTCAGCATACATTTCCAATGGCCCAGAGCAGATAGTTTCAATACTAAGGTCACTCGCAAAAAGAGAAGATAAACAGGAGACGATCCCTGGAAGAACTGAGCCTCCACTCAGACTGGGATGACAAAGGTTAAGTTTGATGGCTAAACAATGGCAAAGGCAGGAGTAACTTACACTATGTTCCCTCCGCTATTAGTACCTGGACTTTTCACTCCCACCCACTGAAATTGTGCTTTTCACATAAGTAAATACTTTTAACAATTCAGGACATAGACAAGGATTTGTACACATGCATACAGATTCCTGTTTTGCTCTTTTCCTGAGAACATCTTTTGGAATATAAATTCTAAGCATATTTTTCTGTATAAATACAATTGTAAGAAATCATAGGCACAAATGGCATGACATGTGTTGCTGGATTAACCGATGGTGAACTGACTGGGTCTTTTGTTCTTCTTAATCCTCCTCTTTGACCAGCTGCTTTTGTAAGCTGTGAACAAAGCGAGAGAAGTGTTAGCTTGGTAAGCAGTTTGCTGCCAGAGACAAACACCACACAGCATTCTAAACCCAACAACAAACAACAGGAAGAGCTGTCATGGGCTCGCTGGTAGGGAACTGTGCTGCCAACCCAAAGACACGCTATTTGAATCCACTAGCTGCTCCACAGGAGAAAGATGTGCCATCGCCTTCCTCTGTGATTAGCTGCCCCTGGCAACCCACTGGAGGGTCGTCTTTCGCTGGAGCTGTCATCTGTCACTCCAAAATTCCCCTTTAAGAAGTGAAATAAGAACGGAAGAGGAATATATACAAGGGAGGTTGAAAGGAAATTGCAGCCGGAAGTGTCTAAGCAGCCCTGAGGAACAGGGTGGGAATGTTCAGGTGGTGTGCACGCAAGCCAAAGCCTCAAACCAGTCAAATTAATGCTCCAAGTGTGAAAACCAGACTGGATTCTTCCATTGATACTCCAGCCCTAACTCCTTAATACAGTACATCCTGCGGGCCCCACCTCACAGCCACTATGCCTTTGAGTTTATTATAGAATTGAGACTTATACAACCCATTTCTCTTTCCTCATCGCTAGGTCATCTGAGTGCTTCCCCAGAGTCCCTGAGTGGGGGGAGTAGTAAAACCACTCGACTGCTAACTCAAAGACTCCACCCAAGTGTCCCTTGGAAAAGAGTCTCAAATGGGCCTCACCCAAGGGTCCCTCAAAAGAAACTCAAACTCTAAGACCATCCACGGGTCCCTCAGAAGAAAGGCCTGGCAATCTACTTCCAAAATATCAGCAAGGAAAAAAACCTCAACAGCCCAGTTCTGCTCCCGTCTACACGGGGTGCCCAGTTCTGATCTCGTCTACACAAGGTCTCCAGTTTTGCAGACTGGTTTGGGTTTTTGGTTTGCGTGACATCACCTGAACCTTTCCACTCTGCTCCCCAGGCTGGGGCTGCCGTAAGCTCTTCAGTCTTTGTCAACTCTCCCCGTTTATCTTTCCTGTGCCCATTCTGCACCATAAGGGGGAAACTGTGGTGAGAGATGGATGACAATTTTAGCAAATGAAGTCCTTAGGAGGGAAAACAAGCACTGAGCTTTCCCAATTCATTATGAGGAACGTGACACTTGAGGCAGTTTCTTGAAATCACCTGGCAAACGAGGCCACGGCCCTTACCTGTGATCACAACTTCCCAGCCAGACTCACCTCTCCAGGTATTCCTTAACGTTATTGTAGCCATAAAACTTGGCCAGATGGATGAGGATCCCGGTGGCGCAGCGGCCGTCCCGCTTCCGACAGTAGCTGCAATTGCAGATCCCACGGCAAGGAGGGCACATCCAATCCTAGGACAGACACAGTGGTAGAAGCATGTCCGCAGCACCACAGGCTCTGGGACAGCAGGGACTCTGATCTGTACTGACCACTGCCCTCCAATCTCAAAGCCCATGCCAACTGTCAGTGTCCGTCACAGGGACCCACACGCATACATTCCACACCATGTATAAAGGAGCATGCTCTACAGCCCTGCTTTCATGTCAGATTTCACAGACGCAAATCACTCAATGTCATACCAGGGGGAAAAACCAACAGTACCGGTTATAGGCAGGAAGTGCAACTCGGATGCTCCTTAAAGGCAAAGATGGTAAAACTTTGTCTCACATGCTTTAGGCATGGTGTCTGGAGGGGTCAGTTTCTGGGAAAAGCTATTCTGGACAGTGAGGGTCAGAGGAAGAGAGGAAGGCTCAACAAGGTGGACGGACACAGTGACTAACAAAGGGCGTTACCAGAGATGAGGATGGCACAGGAGAGGACAAGGTTCAGATCTGTTATGCGGTAAGGCTATTTTAAGCCATAGTTTACTCAATGGTACCGAACAGCAACAGCTCCATAATTAATAGCTGTTGTTGTTATGTGCCGTCGGGTCGCTTGCGACTCCTAGTGACCCTTTGTACAACAGCCCTAAACTCTGCTCTGTCCTGTGCCAATCTCACTGTCTCTTGACACACTCATCCCGATTACCCCAGTCACCGAATCAATCCACCTCCTAGAGGACCTTCCCCTCCTGCGCCTGCCCTCCACTCTCCCAAGCATGATGTCCTTCTCCAAGGACAGGTCCCTCCTTACAATATGTCCAAAATATGTCAGACGAAGCCTGAGAAACCTTGCCTCCAAGGAGCAGCCCGGTTTGACACTCTCCAGGATGAATCTGTTTGTTTTCTTAGTAGTCCATGGTACACTCAAAATAGCTGCCTAAAAATTAAGAATTTCAAGACGGTGGCAAAGAAACACTGGGTCTTTCCATATGACACAGTTTCATGTGCTCACGACATCAGCTCTGGTTTTAGAAGGAGCCCGTGGTTCCAGTAAAGAATAACACAGGCCTTCTATATCACATGTGTGTTTGTTGTTCTAGCACTTCACCCGAGTACTAGTTTCTATTTGTCTATAAGGTGAAGTTCATGACTTCCAGCTGAGAAGTCATAAAGCATCCAAGACTGGTCAAGAGTCCAGACTACCCACGCTCAAGTCACCCTATAAACCATGTCACTATTATCACTATCCTCTATCCAGGTCACTATTACAATACAGAGCAGACAAGACTAAGGAGCGCTAGGGCTTCCTAAGGTGAAATAAATGAAGGAGTTAGTAGTTGAGACCACTCTGTAACAGCGCCAGGCACACAGGAATGACTCTGGTCAGGAAAAGCAAAGGTAAATTCCTCTTTTAAGAGGAAGGGCAACAGAGATTGACTTCTCCCACACCAAAAAACTGCTGGGAAGTTTTTGTTCTGACCGTGGAAAACATAAGCCCTGCTCCTTTCCCTGGGTCAGTTTGGGAAAGGAAAAGCCCTGTTTTCCATTTGCCCAGAATTAAGACACAGAAAGAGGCAAGGGGTTCCACAGAAACCAGAGATGACAGCTACAGGTCCCCAAGAAAGGGTCCAAGGAGCCCGCTCAAAGCATGCTTCCCCTCAACAATAAAGCCACAAAGAAACACAAAGCCCACGCCTACCGGGTCCAGCAGGGCCGATCGCACGTCCTCCCCGTAGCGGTTCCGCAGACATGGCCCGCAGAACTGGCCCCGCACACCTCCACAGCCCTGGTTACGACACACGGTCTTGGTGTCAATGGTCTTCTGCCGACACTGATGGCATGTGTTGCCCTGGAAGGAGGGAAACATGTGAGCCGAGGGGAGTCCACGGTGAAGCGGAGGCCAAAGGCTGCTGCCTGCAGCGCCCGCCCTCCCCTCGAGAATCAGGCCTACTCCTACTGGAAGGAGGGAAATGAGCAGAGGGGACAGACAGCAGCCCTGAACAAGGGGAGCAGACCCACAGGGCCTGAGCAGTGGAGACTCCCAGCAAGACTCGGATGATCTAAATTTTTCCCTAGTGTAAAAAATCCTGTCTTTAGGCAAGCTCTGGTGGTCTAGTGGCAAGAAGCCACACTGCAATCCCAGAGGTGCACGGTTCAAATCCACCAGATGCTCTGCAGGAGACAGAGGGACAATCTCCTCCTGTACCAGTCAGATCCGATTTGATGATACACAAACACACTCAAAATAATAAAATTTAAAACATTTTTTTAAAATCCTGTCTTATAATGTTAATTAAGAAGAACTTACTACTACTAAAGACAGTGTCCACTACTTATCAAGCAAGGGACAGAGAATCCAAAGCCTCTCCCTAATATGACCATTTAAAGGAAATCTGAACTTATTCCCTGCCTCGCAGAGGTAGTCAAGCCTTATTTTCTGTCAGCTCTAAGGATGCATTTTGAGGCCACCAGCTCCCTCCATGGAAGAAAGCTGAGCAATCTTCTCCTGGGGAATTCACAGCCGTCAGAAACCCTCTGGAGGGTCAGCTATGAGCCACTCCCTACTCAACAGCATATACACTACCACCATATGAGCAAAAATAAGCCACAATACATTTTCAATATTAAAAAATATACATACATAGCCTCTGCCACTGAGTCCATTCCAACCCACACTATCCCGTCATTGGATTGCTAAGGGTATGTACATCTTGATGGACGGGGACTGCTCATCTTTCTCCAAATGTAAACTATGTGCACCAGCATGTCAGGATGCTTTTCCCAATCAGACTCATCTCCCTTCAATTACACACATGCTTTGAGACATCTTCCCTGACAAGGTGTCTGCACTAATTCCCAGTTCCTGCTGTCAACTCCCAATTTGTCACTGCTGGGCCATCATGGAGATGACATGAGGGTATGAGGTCCTAATACAGATCAAAACCAGTGTCAGATGAAAATCAATGCCTCAGACATGCTGTAAGAATCATGGAAGTCATTCATTATTTGTCACCTTACCAGAACTTTATCGTAGATTTTATCTCGGACAGTGATGGCCACATTTTCTAAATCCTCTTCAGTGATGTCCTCCACTGGCCGAAAAGAGGAGGCGCAGCGACTTCGTCTGTACCCCTGGCATCTCCCCTGCAGATTGGACAGAAGCAGAGCACAGAATCAGAGTCCTGCATAGTTAAATACTGAGAGCCCCTCCTTCCTCTCACACCATCCATGCATTAGCCATGTGTCCCTGATTCCCCCTCGTTCATTCTCTTGGGGATCATCTGCTGAGCTGCTGACCAGTTTCCCTCTCTTCAAGGTGGTAGGATAAGTAACTTGCAAACACTGTAGGGACAGGGAAGTAAACCAAGTGAACCTCACTAAAAAGCAAGCTCTCAAACAGGGAGGATCCCGAGTCCCCGTTCCTAAAGCAGAGAGCTAGGAAGGACACCTGTCCACTGCACGAGGGGGCCAAGTCAGGTCATGACCACTGAGCTGTTCCTCTATTGGCTCAGAAAAGGATGAACTCTGTGCCACACAGCACAGCATAGCACAACACCAGCACCTGCACCAGCACAGCAGTTCTCTTCCAAGCGTGGGCCTAGCACAGCCTGGCAGAACCTATGCTTTCATACATAACACAAGAGTGAGCATGAGGCACCTCAGGTCTGAGGACCACTGGCTAAGACGGAGAGTAACTAGTTTACAAGTCAATAATTACCCCACTAATTGTCTTCCTTCTTCTGAAACCGTAAAATTCTTCGGCCAGTTTGGTGGCTGAGACTGTGAAGTTCTCCAGGGCAAACTTCTCCGGAGGCCGGGCACTCCGCGTGGGGTTTGTGCGGCGCGGGAGCTGTCCCTCCGAGAATGCCCGGCGCGGGGTTTTCTTCTGAAATAGGTAACACAGGTGTGCACGTCACTCACACTCACACATACACACACCCCACCCCACCCCCAGGGGTTCTCTTAACAAAAAGCCATGTGGTGACAGGTTACTGCGCATCAGTATTGCTAGAGGTCATCACAAGGGGCTGCACTTACAGAAGTCGAGCCTGGGGTTCGTACTGGGAAGAAATCTGGCATAGAGTTCAATTCTGCCAGCAGCTGGGCAAGCTGAAGAGCAAACAAAGGAAAAGTTCTCATATAATCACTGCCAGACTTCCTTCTCTCAACCTGTCTCCACTCAGTTCCCTGCCGCGTGGACACAGCAAACTACACAGCTGAACCCACTCTTAGCTCGCCCTCCAGTGGGATTTCAGAGGCTGTAAATCACAAAGGCCTGTCTTCCTCCCATGGAGCAGACAGATGCTACCTCTGAGCCACCAGGGCCGGGTTAGCAGTGCAAATCCTGACCCACTAGACCACCAGGCCTCCCTCAATATCTGTCACCTCTTATCAACTTTGAATCACAAGAAACAAAGCAGTTTGTACCAACACTTCAACAGCTGTTAAACTTCTAACCTCACATTTAAAGAATTCAGTCTCTAGAGGCAAGACACTAATGTCACGATATAAATGAACAGTGTGTCCATTCCTGAAACGTAAGGATGACATGAAGTAACAAAGCTCCCTGGAGTGGGAATGGCCTGGAACCAGTGTTATCCTGACTTGGCCATCTAGGACCACTGACCATGATCCCTTGTGCCTCACTTTCATCACACTGTAAAAAGAGGAACAGCTTGACTAGATTATACTGATGGTCATTTAAGCTCAAAAATACTCCAGTTTCGTGACATCACATTGGAACAGCTGACCCTTCGCTACGTTTCCGAGGTGTAAATCTTGCCCAACTTTCTCTCAAAAAGCAGCTGGTGGATCTAAACAGCCTGCCTTTGGGTTGTCAGTGCAACTCCTTAGCCAAGCAGGACAGCAGAACCCAAAGAGATTAAATTAATCATTAAAAATCATTTTTAAAGTATGCCCATATTAAGACTTAATGGCCAAATAACAGATATTAATAAACCCATTAGAGAAATTCGTTTATTGGGGTTGTGAGTTTTTTAGTTTTAATTTACACAAATGCATGATGTCACTGAAATACCTAAGAACACAGCACTGTCTTATTTCAAAGATGAAGATCAATACAGGGCTAAAAAATTTCTCTAAGTACAAATGTGTGAATAAAATTAACTCCAAACCAGGCTTTAAATTGTCTTAACTAAATAATTATTCTGAGATGTACACGATACACATATGATTAGCTATATACTTAATGTCATCAACACAATCTGAAGTCACAGCAACCTGGCTGAACAGAGTGGAACTGCTCTCACAGGGTCTCTAAGGCTGGCCGACTGTCTTCTCTGTTTCCTACAAAGTAGATGGTTAAGTTCGAACCTCCAACCTTGCAGTTACTTTTAAGAAATTCTGTATTTACAAAATAATAGAGCAAATGGTGCTGCTCAATAATCAGATGAACAGTTACTGCTCCCACATGGGAACACCGAGTGGGATTAACACAGGTTTCACCTTGTTCCATTAACTGTTCTTACGAAGAACTTTTAAAATTAAAGTGAATTAAACCTGCTTAGAGTGGCTTTCATTCCTCAGTCTCTTCCATTCCTTCAGATGATGTCTCAAAACCATGGCTGTGCATCACAGGAGAGCAGCTTCCATGCTAAAAGCAGCTATCCTGACATCACACACACACACACACACACACACACTACAACTCTTCTGTGGACTGAGACATCTATAAACCTACTCTATGCTTCTCTCTACTTTTAACAGGCCAAAATTAAGCCCTCCCATTCTCATACTAATATATATTTAGACCATAACCTGACCAATAATAAATGGGATTTATTCCTGGTACTATCTGGAGAGCTAAATGTGGCCTTTGGAATCTTACCAAACCAGAGCTGATCATACTTTGGGTTCTGGAGGAGAAAAAGGCCATATAATGCCCAGAACACGCTTTCCGGAGACCTGACAGCTGTTAAGGACACAGGGGCTTTGGGAGCGTCCCCTGCAGGTCCCCGGGCTGTCCATGGAGCCTCACCATGGCTTTGTTCTCCTTGATGTTCATGGTCCTTTTCAGCAGGGCATCCGAGCTCTCCTGGCCCTCGTCCCTGGAGTCATCGTCAGACTCGGATGCAGGCTCTTCCCTCTGCTTCCTCTGTCTGCAGCTCTTCTGTCTTCCAAGAACTGTCTTTCTATTGTTCTGTAAGCTGAGCTCTGATGGCTCAGAGGAGCTGCTTTTCTTATCTGTTTGATTTGCCAATTTCTTGGTGGGGAACTGAAAGGCTACCCGCAGCCCGAGACTGCTTCTTCTAGACCTGCTTCTTCTAGGGGTCACCTTTTCTTCTTCCTCCTCTTCATCAGCTTCCTCTTCCTCACTCACTATAGAGGTATTGCTGTCATCACTCAGATCCGATTCCACAATCTAACAAAGAACAAAGACATTTGAGTGCAAGAGACCTTGCAAAGAAATATATACAGAGATATTAACATCATGGTACAGGATGGGGCAAGGCTCAGATCTGTGCTTGACAGGGTCACTATGAGCTATAGTCAAGTCTATGGCACCCACCAACAAACAACAACACATGGAAAAACGCTTGGAAAACCCAAGTTCCAGGTGACAAAAAGGACTGTCACTCTCACGGACATTATGTCAGGGACAAAATGAAGCGCTCACACGGTCTCCTTTCTGTTATTATTTTCCTCTGAATTCTTCAGTTAAATGTGCAAGTTTGCTCATGAGGACAACCTAAGGGTGAGCTGACCCTGCACTGGTCACACCCTGGACAGAACTGAGGCTCCCAATCTGACCAGTACGTTTTATGCAAAGACACCAACATGGTGGGATCCATGTGGACCACAGAAGTCAGCATCACTGCTGGGATTATGTTCCACAGACAGCCAGAGGGTGACGATCAGAAAAGATACTGCCACCTGTTCTCATGAGGCTGGGCTGGCAACACGGATGACAGACAAGCTTCTGTGGTGTAATTTTTAATTAATATTTTTTATCATACATATACACTGTGTTTCATGAATGTATACTGTGTTTTATACAATCTTTCATCTATGTTGTATTTTGTTTATATATACTATGTGGGTTTTTTCCCCCTTACAATCATCTTACTAATAACTATACTCATAAAAGCGTGTACACCAACTACTTCATACTTCATGCCCTAACATTCCCCTTTTAGATATAATGCTTGTCTGTGACCATGCCTTAAACTGTAGGATGTCATAGTTATCACATTTCACAATCCATACCTTGAATTTAGAGACACTGAATGAAAAAAGTTACGTTTGTGAATAACATACTTTACTATCCATCTCCAAAATATAACTACACATCATTTAGCTGAAGAGCGGGAGATAAATAAATCATTAAGAGTATATAATACCCATCAGGGCTTGGAAGAATCTTAGTCTTGCTGGCAAGAGAGTGGGGGCTTGCTGGCCAGAACATGTGAATTGCCACACAAACAGCTTCTGTAGAGAGAGCCAAGGAGACCCGAGGCCGAGGGCTGGCACAGCTCAGTAGTTCTATTCATGGAAAGTATCACCATCAAGCAAGACAGCCTACCATTAGGGCCTGCAGGCCTCACATTCTCTGCTAGGAAAAGATGAGGGGAGAAACGGAGAGAGCAGTCACAGCTTACGCTCTGACGGAAGTTTCCAGCCAAAAGCTGTTCTCTAACCACTTCTGAATGTGAAGAGGTTCCCGTTCCTTTATCTTGGTAGGGAAGAAGCAAGTAATATGTCATTTTGGAGAGAAAAGTGTGTTTTGTCAGTACAAACTAAATGCAAGGCTGTTTTTTCAAGTTACTTCGTCTACATCCTAGCCAACCCCAGCCACGGGGTCAACTTCCACTCATGGAAACCCTCCATCAGGTTTCCAAGGCTGTGCATCTTAATGGGGCAGAGAGCCCACCCCTTCTCCTAGAAAGGAGGAGGTGGATTAAAAATGTCAGACTTTTGGAAATCAATGCAAAAATTCAAACTCACTACCATGAAGTCAATTCTAACTCAGCCACCCCGTATCCATCAGGCTTCCAAAGCTGTGAGTCTTTAAGGGAGGAGACGTACAGACTTCAGGTTAGCAGTGCACACTGACCACACCACTTCCTGTGGGCCTCACTGTGTGGAGCAGCAGAAAAGAACTGACAAATGTCTCAATGACAAATGCTGGAAGGTTTCCTACAGGAGGCCACACTAGCCCAGCCTACTAACGTGAAAACCCATGGAGCATCTAAGTCAAGAATGTATGCTCAGTGCTGGGGAGAAGGTAGAAAAGCTGAAGCACTCTGCCCTGCTGGTGGGAATGGAAAACGGCGCCATGACTATGGAAAATGATTTGGCAGTTCTTCCAAAGGGAAGAGCACAGAACTGCCATAGAACAGAGCAATTCCATGCCCAGGCATACAACCCAAATATCTGAAAGCAGAGACCCAAACTGATACTTAACATACCAATACACTGTTCAACAGATACTGAACACAGCAGCATTATTCACAAGAGCCAAACGTGGATACAATTCAAGTGTCCAACAAGAGATGAAGAGATAACAAAATGTAGAGATATACAATGGCGTATTATTTATCCACAAAGAGAAATAGCATTCTCATGTGTGCGTTATGACATGGATAAACCTTGAAAACATGAAGTGGAGCAAAAAATCCAATCTCAAAACACCTTCTAATCCCATGAAATATGTAGAATAGGCCAGTTCAGAGAGGCATAAAGGAGATTATCAGAGGCTGGAGAGACTGGGACATGGCTGTTATGATTAAATAGGTACAGAATTGGCACGTAGGGTAATGAAAAGCTTTTGGAAATAGTGGTAAGAGTTGTACAATCTTATGAAAGTAATCAAAGCCAGTCACTAGACTGTGCACTTAAAAATGGTTGAAATGGTAGATTATACATAACGCACCTTGCACTACAATAATAATGAACACCTTGTAAAAACCTGGAGGGTGCACTCACAGCAAAATCTTGCCAAATTAATGTCAAACTTAAAGAGTATTACTTTACAGGAAAAGTAATAACCTCAAGGAACCTGTTTGTCAAAAGAATTAAGGGTTCAGTAGACTCTGAGATAGACAGTGAGATACATCCAGGACATCCCTGGAGACCTCCAAAGGCACATGGGGAGGATAAATGGATTTTTTTTCCACTCATTTACAAAATTCTAATACAAACTTGAACATATTCTTTCAATTTCCCTCACCCCCTCACCTATCAAATTGTACAACCCCATGATTAATCCCCCTGTACAACCACATCCTTCAGCTTCCAACCTCTCCCACACTTCCTGAATCCTTATACTCATTCTATAATAACAATCTTATACAATACTTATTCTGTGGGACTGAAGTTAGTTCACTCACCATAATGCACTCCAGTCCCTCCCAAGTTAGGTAATAAGACTAAGTGGGGATGGCAGGTCAAGATTAGTCTTAGGGTGACAGCAAGCAACAAATGCTGGCGAGTTTGTGGAGAAACTGGAACCCTTATTCACTGTTGGTGGGAGTGTAAAATGGTGCAACCCCTGTGGAAAGTGGTATGGCGCTTTCTCAAAA